ACGTGCTTTGGCACGTTGCGGGCCGCTCCCACGTCGGACCAGAAAGATCAAATCTTTCTTCTGAGTCGTGGGTCTGGTGAATTACCCATAACTGTTGTTCGGTTTAAAATCAAGAAAAAGAAATTAACATGGGCTGGGCACGTAGCACCTAGGCAGGATATCCGCTGGTCATTAAGGGTAACTGACTGGATTCCCAGAGAAAGCAAATGCACGAAGGGGAGTTAGAAAGCGAGGTGGGCTGATGAGATTTATACGTTTGCAGGTATAACGTGGCAATGGAGAGAACAAGACCAGGTTCATTGGTGGATCATAGGAGAGGCCTTTGCCCTGCAGTGGGTGTTGTCAGGATGACGATGATTATTATTATGATGACGAATATTTCGTCCCTTTGTAGTTACTCCCAAAAAGAGAGTAATTGTAGTGGCAGATCAGTCGCTCCCCCAAAGGAACGACCTCGGCGCTCCTGTTGCTCCGTTTCATCTTGCAGTGTATATGACAGTATTGTAAATAAGTTTGGCGAAAACCCGCAAGGTGGCGAAAGGACTGAAGAAGGTAAAGAAGACAACCACACGTTTGTAGCACGATGTGTGGGATTTAGCGTCCTAAAACCACCATAGGAGTATGAGGGATGCCGTAGTGGAGGGTTCCGGAAATTTCGATTACCTGGTGTTCTTTAACGTGCACCCAAATCTGAGCACACGGGCCTACAGTATTTTCACCTCTATGGAAAATGCAGCCACCGCAGCCGGGATTCAATCTCGCGACCTGCGGGTCATCAGCCGCTGTTTGTTGCACGAAGCCACAAGGAAATCCGTACGATTTATTCAGAAAGAAAAGCCGGTCGCGGGATCAAATCCCGGCTGTGGTGGCTTCATTTCCGATGGAGACGGAAATGTTGTAGGCCCGTGTACTCAGATTTGGGTGCACGTTAAAGAACCCCAGGTGGTCAAAATTTCCGGAGTCCTCCACTACGGCGTCTCTCATAATCAGATGGTGGTTTTGGGACGTTAAACCCCACAAATCGATCAATCAGAAAGAAAAGCCTCCTCATTGCCGAAAAATTATTGTGGTACGGGGTTCGAACCCGGGACCAACGCCTTTCCGGGGTGGTTGCTCTGCCATTATGAGCGATTCAGGAAGCTAGCAATTGATAGCGCGAGGGCGTGTTTATGGACAACTTGAAGCACATGGACACAAGCATTGCAAATGAGTTCTGCAAAAACCAGGAAGGTGGCGAAATGGTTAAGGAATAGAAGACAACCACCCGTTTGTAACACGAAGTCACAAAGAAATTCGTACGAATCTTCTTGTGGCTCCTTTTATAAACAGGTGGTCGTGTTCGTTCGCTCTTATATAACAGTATCAGGAAAATAATAATAATGATAATTGTTGGAGTTTAGCGAACCAAAAGAGCGATATGATTGTAAGAGATGCCGTATAGTGGAGGGCCCCAGAAATTTTGACCACCCGTGGTTCTTTAACGTGCACCTAAATCTACACCAAAAAATCACTGCCAGCTTCATTAGGTTTGTAGTGAAGTATTGTTTTTTTCGGAGCAAATGTTGTATGAATAACTGATTTCGGCGCCGCCATGATTTGCGAGAAATGTGCACACAGCGAGTGCACACAAATATGCCACAGAGTTGTTGTCGCGTTGCTGAGCACGTGGGTAAAGACGAAAAAAAGAAGTTATGAGGGAGCATTGCGCAATGCAATAGAAATAAAAAAAATCGCTGATGCGTGGTTTGCTGTCGTTTTCCTTACGCACTCACTAATACACGCACGGAACCGCACAGGGAGTTTCACCAGATGCGTCCAAATCCTCAAAAATCAGGGAAATGCAATATTTGCTCGCTGCCTTCACAATAGATTTTTCTTTAGCGGCAGACATCTTAAGATGGCTAAAGCCATCATTTTGCAGAGTAATTAAAATGAGAGTTGGGTGGTTATGTCCAAGCAGAGAAGTGGAGACTTTCATGCGAACAACTCACTGCAGCTTTGAAGGTTCCTATAAGCGGCCTCTTCCTCTACAACAGGGGTGTCAAACTTACCACAGCCAGTGGGCCGCATTCACGCGATTTATCTCACAATGGGCGGTACTGGGTAGAAATATTGCATTGGTAGTTGGGACGTACTGCCAGCAAACGTGAAACACCAAAAAACTCTTTTCGGTATATTATATACGTGTAATTTTTGGAGATTCTGTGCTATGATTCCAAGAATTAAAAAAAAAACATGTCGATACCCATTGGCGAAATAACTGAAATCTAGAGAACGATTACGAAATATAGCTTTTGTTTAACAGTTGTTTCAACACATGGTGGTACATAGGGTGGCTTATAGAAGCGACGCTTTTCACCAGTGAAGCTTGCAGTGTAATTATTTAAAAGAAACGTGGGATGCTCATGGACATGCGCGGGCCGCAAGCGAGAGGGTCCACGTGTTTGAGGCGCCTGCTGCACAATATGTGTGAGCGAGGATGCTCGAGGCCCGTGTGACCGAAATTTGCAAGAGCCTTCCTCGTGGCTTTTGAATGTTAAACTTTATAAATTATTATACTTTATGAACTTCGCCAGGCGCTACAGGCGAGGCATAGACTGTGTGGTGTGCACGTATCCCGAAGGAGTACGGCCACCAGCGTGGGTCCGGTCTTAGCGAGCCGCAGGGCACGCGTTAACCGTCGCCGTGGCGGGAAACACGATACTGCTTAAGTCGCAACACTTTATTGTGGCAACACCAAACGCAGTACAGCCCGTTGAAAAAGGCGCGGCGGGAAAGCAAATAGGCTTATCCACGCCACAGACACAAAGTACTACACAGGGTGCCACGAGCACCCTGTGTACGTCTCCGCGGTAAAGGTGATCCACGGAGACACATGGACCAAGGCCCGGTTGCTCGAGCGAGGGCAAAGGCGCTCGCGTTGGCTTCGGAGGGAGACGGGTCGGCGTAGCTAGGCCACGCACTAGGACACCGTACCACCCCTCGGCCGTGCGTACGCAGCGGGGCAACAGCGGGTGAGCGTTCGCCTCGGGCGCGAGGCGCCGTCCGCGAAGTCCGACGAGCCCCGAGCGACGCGAGTCGACGGACGGAAAAGATTGCGTGGCTCACCGTCAGCTGTCCTGGAGAGTATCTGGCCCGCTCCCGACGCACGCGCGCAAAACCTCTAGGGAGACTCCGCGCGCGGCGCCACAGTCAACATCCGCTACCGGGTGAGGGAGTTAAACGTCACTCCGCTCACGCACCACGGCAGACAGCAAAGGAGGGCAGACATGTCGGGACATGAGAACGGCAGAAAAGGCGGCAAAGCCCGCGCAAAGGCAGCGGGCTAGCCTCAATTCCCACAGCTGTCACTTGAAGCCACGACAAGCTCCCGACATTCACAGGCAGCGAGAGCGAATGCACATAGTTCCGAGGAGACGATAAACTAGCGCCGTGCATTTTATGTGCAGTCGCGCTCTATATGAGTTGCAACATGCTGTCAGCACTCGAAATGGTCTTGCAAAGCGCCATCTATACACAGAAAAGAAGGGGACTAAACTTTCTCGGGTGGTGGTTTCTTCCTGAGTCAATATTACGTTGGTCAGTGTCATTGCTCAGTCTTGGCGTCATTTTAACCACTGCCAGCGTGTTGCAACCAGTTGAGCGTGACTGTAGTACGTCAATGCGCTACCTACTGCCGCGTGCAGCATCGTCGAGATTAAACTATAGTGTCGTGACTGGAGTGGCATGATGTTTCAGTGCCATGGAGTTACAGCGCACGTCCGAGGGAAGACCATCTGTGTAACAGTTGAGAAGAGATCACTGCATTTTCACTAGCATTCACGAATTCCTTTCCAGAAAAAGCATCGTTACATCGAGTTCAGTGTCATGACAGTTTCGTTGATTCGAGTTGATGACAACAGTGCTCGCTATGGGTACCTTCCGGGAAATGAAGTTTTCTTCATTAGATCGAAAAATTCGTAAAATCAGGTTTCATTATATTGAAATTTGACTGCATATATGAAATTGCAGCTTGCTACACTGATTCGGCGAGGCCAGTGACTGATGTTTCGTTTTCGTTACACTGCTATGCCAACTGGGGTCTGTAGAATGTGTGTTGTTGTTGTTGTTGTTGTTGTTGTTGTTGTTGTTGTTGTTGTAGATCCGATGCTTATCTTATGCCCAGCGAACAGTAGTTAAAGGGACACTAAAGCCAAATAACAATTGAAGTCGGAGTGGAAGCTCAATGTATGACAACGTCTCAAATGGGAATACTATCAACAGCAGCGCCCTATACTTACCGAGAAATTAATGCAAATGCACGAGAACACATGCGCCACGAGTAAGACATTCGCAAAATGATCCCGATGACGTCAGACTTACCACCTACAATAATCACAGTAGTCGAACTAGCTGCACTAAATAACCTTATGTGCACCAAGAGATGTTATAAACTGCTGCCTGTGCGCTTGATTCATGGAAAAAAAGAACAGCCGGACGTTATTATGGGGAATGGCGCGAGTGGTACGTCCAAAAGTTCAATTATCGCTTGGTTAAACTTAGGGTGCCTCGATGCGGGTATCGAGGCTCTCTAGTTAAACTAGACAGGTCGTGCAATCTAGTGGGGTCCAGTCAAACCAAGCACGCCAGCCATCTCGGAGGCCATGGCAGGAAATTGTTCAATGACCGTTGTTTCTGCTGTGGCTCCCGCTACTTTCATGAAGCTGCTACTAGTGTCGGGGGCCGTGCAGTAAAGCTGGGCAATGTTGTGCACGACAACAGTGACGTGAGTGTTTCCACTTGAGACGGGTAAGTTTAAGTGTGCTAACACGATGCGGACCACTAAAACGTGATTGTATTGCAAAACACTTCCTTGGTACAAAAGTAGCACTACGAGGTTTCTGGACCGCTATTTCAGCAATGAACATCAGCCTAATATTTGCCTTTAGTGTCTCTTTCAACCCGAAAAGAGTGAACTGAGCCTGCAGGCATATAGAGACGCGTGTACTGAATGCTCACAGGGAGATGGAGGAGGCCCAGAAGTGTTTGGAGCGAGAGACGTCGTTCTGTGCGGACGAAATACGTCGCATCTACATGAACTACCTGCGACCGGTGACTGCCGCCTTCCAGGACCTTTGCAGCAACAGCAACACCAGGGACGGTGAGGTGATCGTTTGCTCCAACGAATACACTCATTTACCTCACATAGGCAGATTTTATCCTGCATAACCCCCCCCCCCCATCTCTCAAAAACTTTAACGCAAGAGCGTTGAGGAGCTACGTTTCGCAGAAATTCTGGCATCGCGTGGCCGCGTCGTTGGTTGTTAGCCACGAATAGGTGCTGTCCGTGCGTGAACATACGAGCACATGATTAAAGAGAGAACCGAAACCGGACTTGAGGGATGCAACCAGGTGTTTTACCAAAGAGCTCCGCCACTGCTTCTTGTGACTGCTTCCCAAAGAAAAAAAAATCCTATAAGAACGCCATTTGGTGGGAGAGACGTCTCCTTAGGGCATGCTATATTCCGGAGGCACAATCTTCAAACCGCACCAGGCGTCAAAACACGAGAATCGCGCAACAAGTACGCGGTTCGAAGCTGCCCACCCAGAGCCGTATATATCGCAATAGTATATATTGCAAGCTAGGCTATAGTCGGTAAGACCACTCCGTCGTTTGCAGTACTCCTGGCACACCGTGCAGTACAAATTGCGCAAGTGCGCGTGTACATCGACAATTGAAAAAAAAAAGAAAAAATTGTGGCAGCACTTGGCACTTTCCGTATGAATTTTTTTTTTAAACGATGCGCACATTGGTCTCGATTGCGCGTTCGACTCGATGAGGTGAAGCTCGAGCGTCTCCCAAGTTTTTCGATTTTGCGTGTTTATATAATTTCAGAATTCTTCATTCCTTCCAATACATTGGGAAGGGATTTCAGGGCAAAAAGTTGTGGTCTGTAGAGAGGTATGTAACTTAGAAGTGTGGCAGCTTGGGCTAGTTGGTATGGCATGACGATAGTTATAGCGCGAGAACAAAACGACGACACAGGTTGTCCTTCTTGTCTCTGTGTCGTCGTTTTGTTCTCGCGCTATAACTATCGTCTGTAGAGAGGCCAAAAAAAAAAAAAACACAAGGCAGCTGGGCTTGACTTCAAAGCACACGTAGCGCTGGACCTTGATGGACCGCATCATGTCGGTGGCAAAAGATCATTTGCATAGCAGGTCATCGAAATTCTTGAATGCATGCATGCGTGCATACATATGTTGATCAGCAGTGAATCGACGCAAAGTCAATGCTGTCCAACGCGCATGAATAAAAGTGCACACTCGAACAAGTATGGCTGAGCTCCCCTTTCTATAAAACTGGAGCGAGAAAGAACTAAGGAGAGGCCCTGACGTCATATTTGTGAAGCTACCACATAGATGGATCGATGGATGTATCCGGCTGTGCCCTTTGGATCGGGTGGTGGCTCACGCCACCTAGCCATGAAGTTAAGTACTATCACTATGTGTTGAAGGATTGAATTTCACTCGCGCCTTAATTGTATCCACTATCAGTTAGCCTCCTCCTGGTTATTTTTACCCGTGTAAAGTCTATTTTGCCTTCACTGTCTCCAAACCCCAACGCTTTGAAAAATTCCGTGCCACTATCGTGGACTATAGGATGGAGCCGTTTACAGAACATCATAAAATGTTCAGCCGTTTCCTCCTCCTCTCCTCACGCACTACATACTGTGCCTGTGCCTTCGTATTTGGCTGGGTACGTCTTGGTACGCAATAATCATTTTCTGGCCTCGAACAGCAGATAACTACCCCCAGATTTACCGTAGATCTTTTCCGTTGCAATTTTCTGCTTGAAAGTTGGGTAGGTCTCCAGTGATGATTTCGTAAGCATTCCAGTCTTTCACATGTCTCTCTCTGTTTCTTTCACCTTATTAACCGATATTTCCTTGAGGCTTGGTATTCTGCTGTTGTCTAAATACTTGCTTGACAATTTTTGAGTTCGTTTCCTCCATTTAGTATCAACATTTCGTATGAACATCGAGTATCAACATCGCAAGCACCCGCACAGCCTCCTAGTGGAGAAGCAGATAAACACTTCGCGATTTCCGCCGCGCGGCGACCTTAGCAACAACGCCGGTGGCGAGTCAATTCGCGAATGCTGCTTCTTTTGCGTGTATTTCAGGAAAGCTGCCCTGTGCTGTATATTCAGTGCGAATCGCGTGCACTGCTGGAAGTACCTGGTGTCACTTTTCACGTACGATCGCTTCATTGCTGGTACATTGTGTTTGCACGCATGCGGAGCTTTCGGCTGTATGCTCCGTTGATTCTTACTCACTGCGTAAACTGAGAAGACAGGCGAGCTTTTGTTTTTGGCATTGTAGGCATCGCATCGCGTTTTTAGTAGTTGTGTCATTCATACGAAAGGACAATAAACTTTCCTTGTTGTCGCACAAAGTGTGTTTGTATTGTGCGGTGTGCGCTCGATCGCTGCGGGTTAGTTGTGTGCGCACTGGAATTACACACTTTACGTGCACGATCCTGTATACTAGACAGTGGTGTCTCCCTTCGACGTGAACTTACGCCAAGCGTTGCACAGAATAGCTACGAAGCAAGCTCTTTGAATTGTGCATTGCCACACTGAGACCATATACGAGCGAAGAACTACTAATCGGCCTGCAGATCGGGAAACGTAGGTAAGAGAGAGATTAAAAAAAAAGAGATACCTTACCACGAGCATAACGCGTAATTCACTGCCGGGTGGGTTCGAAATCGATGACGCAGGGGCGGAATGATTTTGTTTAAGGAATGTACGGGTGCTTTCTGTGCTGTTGCACAAAAACACTCCGCGAAGTATTTCAGCACGCCAGGCTCGGGACTGCCACGCACGAACAGTCTGGGAAACGCGTGCTCGCAACATTTTACTGCATGCAAACCATACAACACACGTTACGCTTACGCCGGCATTACGCGCAGAAACGAACCAGCGCCGCGGAGCGTCTGCAGTTTTGTTTGCCCCATACTGGTTTGTTTACCCCATAAATTGGACGTCACTTCCGTCACACTTCTCACATTACATTGGGATACAATTGGGCCTCTCCTCGGTATTTACATGCCCCTACCCTCAAAGAGAGCTTCTGGCTACGCTGCTGGGCATTCAGCAAATACTGCTGCTGCAACGAGCGATTTAAGTGACCATCTTGCACTCCAGCGCAAACTTTGCGATCACAGCACATTATGTACGCAGATATACGAGCCATCTCTCGGATTCCCATCAACAGATCAATGCGCGAGCAGCGCCGACCACGCCATATGTGTGTCAAAATACAGGGCCGGAGACGCGCAGGCCAACTCCGGCGACAAACGAGCGGTACAATGCAGATGTCGGCAAGGTAGTGACGTCGTGGTGCGACGATACGACGTTGGCGACGAGAACGTCAGATACCCTCTTCGACGCCATCTTGTAGGTTTGTCTGCTACACTATTACATGCATGATTACCCGTGAAGGCAGAACTTCCTGGAGAACGGCGGGTACGCTCGTCTTCATTTCGCAACACGTGATAGGTGCAGATTGTGGGTACAATAGTCGTGTAAAATATAAAAAATCAAGCCATATTTCTGAAGTGAGTGATGATGTGTGGGGTAAGCAGTGATGATGTTCGGTGTTACCGTAAATCACCCGTGACATTGACCACTAACACATTTAAATGAGTGACAAAGCGGTGTAGAGTTATGCACATTGTTTATTGGTCATAAATAGTACATTGTGTCGATCGAGTTGTGAATCTCGTTTTATCTTCACTATTTCTGCTTTGCGGTATCGGATCTAGCCTGAAATTGGCAAATACGGGGCTCTGCACGTTCCCCTAATGGTTGTTGGTTGTTTCCCGTCGCGCTAAATGTATCGTAGAGCACATTGAGACGTCATGTGCTCTGCGATGCATGTGCTCTACAAGCCAGTCGTTGTCCGTGATCATGACGTATAGTGGGAACCTTGCATGCGCGTGACGGCAGACAGAGAGTGTAAACATTCCACAGGAGTCTGTCTGGTTGGGTATGAAACTGGGAAATGATTTAGACTCCAACTAAATGTTTTGAAGAAACGCGACGTTTCGAAACCGACTTGGTTCCTTCCTCAGAGTGGACTGCGGGACTACGTATCAGCGGCGTCTTCAAAGCACTCGCGGGGTGGATAATGACCCCCCCCCCCCTCTCTCCTCTTGTTTTGCTGTGCAGCGCAGTCCATTTGTATATACTGGTGGAAGGGTTCCGAGAGGGCGGTTGATGTTAGGGGCTGTCCTCTGTATGTGCCACGACTCGAGTAATAACCTTCTCCTCCAGTTCGGCTCGCTTTCAAGGATGGCTGTCGCTTCGAAATTTATCCGGCGATGCAACGTCTCGGAATGTTCGGCGATTGTGCTACGCTTTTTGTAGAGGTTGCGCACATCGTTGGCGTGTTGCAGCTGTCAATCCGGTAGGTTTTTTGTCTCGCGGATATACGAAGAGGGGCACTCGGCGCAAGGAATTTTGTAAACGACACCGGGGGTCCTGTCCATTGTTGGCCGGTCTTGCGGGCGGGGGAGGAGGTGGTCCAGCGTACACGAAGGCAGCTGTGCGATGCGAACCCCTTTCTTCTTGAAGATCAGCGCCAACATCTCGCTGGTTCCCTGAACCTATGGGACCAGTACGTGTTTTGGGGGGCTGCCAATTAAGGTTGATTGGGGTTTTCGTATCCTCTGTTGCTCTGCACGGTGGGTGGTGGCTCGAATGAAGTTTTTTGGGTTCGCTAAGTTCGCTAAGAAATGCGAAGTTCACTAAGAAATGCTTTGCAGTTAAAAGAATGGTATGATGGGATAGATGGATATCCTGAAGCAATAAAGCGTAATCGTTCTCTGACAACTTGTAAATGTCACAAAATTTGGTCAGGCACTCAAAAAACATAGTGCCGAGGAGCCCGAGCTGTCAGGTGCTGTTGTGCTTTTTCTACCCTCCCAACTTTCGTTCGTTCGCCAGCAGCGTTAGAGGATCTCAGATATGTTTGGGGCCCCCGGCACTATATATCTCTTAATTATTAGTGCTCCACACGCACCTCCGATATTTGTGGTAGTCAGGATAGCCGGGTCCAGGCACAGCAGCACGTCAAGAAGGTTGCGCCGCAGTGC